CAAAAAATAAACTATATGGCAAAAAGACTAACAGAAGATGCCAAATTTCCGATTAAATTATATTTCATTTATTTTTTGAAAGAGAAAAGGCAATGTTATTAATATTTCAAAAAAGATTCCATCAAATGGCTCTCCATGATTGTCCCTTTATCAGATAATCAATCAGCAAATGATAATCATCCTTTCTTGACTATGGTCACTTCTCTCAATCTTTTCTGCCCCAACTCACCTGCCATTAACTCACACAGACCCAAGACAATAAATCATGTTGGGCTATGCTGAGTTGGGTTTTACCAGACAGTTATGAAGACACACAAGGAGCATCCAAGGATTATGTTCTTTTAAAGACACTCATATTGTTATTTGATTAATTGATATTTTACTATTTTTTTTATTATTATTATTATTTTAATTATTTTTTTATTTTTTTACTATTTTTGTCAAATAAAATTTGATAGTCTGGGCTAAGCTGAATAGGGAGGTTTCGCATGCGAACGCATAATGGTTAGTGCAACGTATACGTCATCATTTATCACGTCATACACTGGTTGCTATCTGCTAACCGTGTTGATGACACACATATCTCGCTCACTACATGTAAGTGAAAAACACGTAGGAAAATTTGGGATTTCTAGTACGATCTTCAGGTTTTTTTTTTCACATTTTACAGTAAGTTATGAAAATAAGTTTATCCTTAATATATACATGCCATTTTTGTGACTTCTGAACACAGCAATTTATGATAGGATGTGTCTAACATTGAGGTATTGTAAAAAACATCCGTGCTTGGTGGTGTCTGGAATTTCTTGTAAGCCTGGCCTAGCTGGGGTTCTCCCTAGGCCTAGCTTATATAGTAGCCAGGCATTTTTTAATCACAAAATAACCTTCTGGGCAAAAAGGGAAGGAGTATTAATCAGCTACCACTTCCAAAAAAACAAAACTTTAGGCCATGCCAAAATTTTTAGAAGTATCATGAGCATGAGAGAAGAAAACGAAATAGCCTAGGCCTAAGGCCCTACGCTTAAATTTTGCTGTCACTGCGAAAAGCACAGCATGGCTAAAAACCATTACGGAGAGCTAAACGTATGCGAACACATATGCGTTCGCATGCGAAACCTCTTTCATTTTTTCAATTCTACAATTAGCAAGTTACTAAATTTGCTGAAAATAAATAAATTGATTTAAAAAATTATAACTTTACTTGAACAGCAATAAAGTCGCCGATATTGATTGGCTGTAGATGAGATGATCCCCTAAATTCTGGAATCATTTTGTCAGATATTATAACTTTTGTGTTAGCATCAATGCGTCCAGCTAAGTAATCATCTGACCTTCTACTCTTCTATCGGAACAAAAATATAACATACATCATAATACATTACTTTGTCTATAGTATTAGAATTTAGAATGGTAATAGGAAACCTTCTAATTTGCTTGTGAAATGATTTCATTGTTTGGTTGGCCAAATTGTCAGTATGTAACCATAACAAGATGTTAAGAGTTATAAAACAAGCATGCAAAGTAATTAAAATGGATGTAGGAAACCTGAACAACTTTTATAATAAGACTGTACTCAATAAACTAGATAAAGTAATCAAAGATGCATCACATCCAATGAAAAACTTATATATCGCTAATAAATGCGGCAGACTCCATGCAATTAATAACAATTCGTCCAGAACTCAGTCTTTTTCTATAACAATGAATTTAAAAGATAATATTATTTATTTAGATTAAGTATTTATTGTTTCGAATTTTCTTAACTTAATGTAACCTTGTAATTATTGTGCAATTTGTATTTTCTTATATTTTTTATGTTTTTTATTGTGACTTTTTATGCAACTGGAACAAAATCTGTATGTATCATGTTATATGTTACAACAATAAAGTTATCTTGCATCCTGTCATTTTTCAGAGGGTCAAGCTCTAGATTGGTGGTAAAGCCGCTTGTCTACTTCGGTGTAATACACATTTTTTTAAACAATACTTAATATTGCCATATGTTGGAGTTTCTTCCTATAAATTTTGGATTTCATATAATTTCTCACAATAAATGTATTACATTTCCAACATGAAAAAAATTACTTAAAAATCGATTATACGAAGTTATTGTAGGTAGATCATGCAAGTATATTTCAGGTAAAATGGTACACAACCACCAATAAATTAATTAGTTGTGTACCTTTTAACCTGTAGTGTAATACACTTTATGCTACGAATAAAAAGGTACACATATAATAAATTAATTTGCTCATTACTGATTGACAAATTGATTGGACTGCATCTAGGCTACTAGCATTGTTTTACAACTTGGTTCTCATATATTTAGGAGAAAAATATAAACTGGTTCCCGGAATGATATATTAGTTGGCTTACTTACTCCTTCTACCAATACAAGCATCTCCTTTCCCACGTAGCCTTCATTTACTTTTGTCATCGATTCCCTTGCAATTGTTATCATTTCATCTAATCTCCTCTTTTTGACCTCTTCAGGAACATCGTCTTTCATCTTATGGTACGCATGGGTTTTCTAACATAATATAAAGCAAGAGTTTTTATTTTTTTTAAATGGATAAATGTCTGTAGATTTGGTCAGTACAGAGGATGCAATTAAATCTCTGGATAGCCTATGGATTGGTACATTCAAACACTCCTAGGTCTCCAACGGCTTGTGACCTCGTTGCATTTAGCTGGGCCTATAGCCATGTTGAGCAAAGGATTTTTGCAATGCATTTTTTGCTGAATGTGTTAAGTCAAGAACAACTTTGCTGGAGCTTGGTAGCATTTTCAACTCCTTGTATATATAATATAATCGCTACACACTATCGCTGACTTTGGCGACAACGGATTGGCCAGTTGAACTTGAATCAGGGAGCCTTCCTGATTGCATCAGGGACATCTACGCATTGCAAGGATTGCAGTGAAAACACTGTAGCGACTTTGTAGCGATTCTATGGAAACCAAGCTTTAAAAATTCTATTTCTGCTATTTTACCAACAAAGAGCATAGAAAGGAGAGAGCACAGTCCCGTTTGTAAATGCGTCACTTTTCTAGTAATGAGTCGCCATCTTCGTCAAGAAGTGCGCTTTGTTTGGTTGTCTCATGGAAGTGTGCCCAACGCAAGATATTAAAATGCAAAATAGTATTACAGGTCTCCCTCCAATTAAAGACCACTTTTAGGACTGGGGTTTCCATGGTCTTTAGCAGCTTTGTCTCTAATGAGAATAACAAAGACAAAAAAAACGCTAATTTTGGCTACAGAAGAGTGGTCTTTGATTTGGTTTGGCCTTAAATTGGAAAAGTCTTTAATTAGCTAGAGACCTGTATAATTATTATTCGAGGAGTTTACTCCGAACAAAAATTTCTCTAATCAAAGACCCTTATTAAAGCCCACCTTCAATTAAAGACCACATTTCTGTGGTCCCAAATTAACAACTGTCTTTTATCTTTATTATTCTATTAGCGACCAAAGCTGCTAAAGAACATGGGAACCCCAGTCCCAAAAGTGGTCTTTAATTGGAGGGAGACCTCTACAATGGATAAATGAGAGTTTAAAACACCTGTCGCATACTGTAAGCAAAGAGGAAGGTATAGTTGTAGTCAACTTGTTGAAGCAACGAAAGTGTGTCTTCGTGTTCCTGTTCTGTTTCTCCACAGAAACCTGTGATGAAATCACTTGTGAGGGAAACATTCGGCAACACGTTTCTCACATGGTCAACAAGCTCAAGGTATGCTTCACGTGTATAACTGAAAACAACATACAATTGAAACATATATTTATTTTTCAATGCTGACATTTTAAGACTGGCATACATAAGTGTGTATATTTCTTTAAATGTTCTCAATTAGGTAAAAAATCTTTGTAATGTTCAAACTTGCGGGAAACCATGGAATTTCCCCTACAGGCATCGTTCCAATGACTGGGGTAATAATGTGGAAAAGCGCTCTCAGACGTATGTGTGCTATATAAAAACGTACACATTATTATATATATATTATGCTAAGCCAATACTGTGATGAGCCAGCATTGCTGTTATAATTAATACCACATTATTCACAATACATTTTTGTGGAATGAGGAAAATAAATGAAAATAATATTACCCTCGCCTCATTCGGTGTAGAACATCAGAATTACCACTCTGTGCAGGTAAATGTAAGTGATTACAAATATTGGGCCGGTCTCTTATTACTTCAAGTACCTACATGAATGGAAGTTAGATGTTAAAATTTACTTTATTCAACCTCTACTCTTTACCACAGTAATCAATTCATTAAATGCATGACAACAGTGAAAACTCTGCAAGCACATAGCCTTTCTAACAAGAGTACAGTGTTCTTTAATATTTTAAGGATCCCACATGAAGAGCAATACTTGTGGTGGGATACCATTTTCCACTAATAATGAAATGATGCATTATGTTTATTTTTGAAATAAAGATTACTGGACTGATTGACCCCTATATGCATTTTTAACAAATATCTTCCTAGGAATATTACTATTAACATAAATCTGTAATGTTATATCACTTCCATTGCGCCCTGACTAATGAAAAGAGTGCAAGGAATACGCTTGTGTTCAACAATACACGTACTGTCCCACAAACGCATGTGTTTAAAGTACGTATAGAGTACTACAGTGTTACGTCACGATACCACATGATACTACTCTTGTTATGGTTGCAAAATGCGTTCTACCCGACGCCATTTTCACCACTAACAAACCACTGATCCCAATTTCTAACGTAATTATTAAGATGTTGTATCTTACTTTTTCTTTGTAAATTTAATTGATGATTAAATGTGTGTTTGATAACTAATACAATGCAAGCTTTTGTGTTTTTAGTACATTTTAATGGTAAAATATTAGATTTTAAAATGCCCATTCCAAAAAGCCTATGCAGTCATTCAGGCGTAATGAACGGTAACCTACGTCTGTTGACAACAGAGAGCGCCACCTGGCGTCGTGGTGACACGACAGTGGTACTCTATGCTTTTGTTTTGTGGGACCTTAGCAACAAAATTTAAGGGGCGGGGCTTAACGGAAAGATCCATTGTTCTAAAAGGGCTCATATCTCCATAGACCATGGCGACAAAAACGAAGTTAACAGACTAAGCTATATACTGCTCTTACAGATGATACAGAAAATCGACCGATCTGTTAATGCCCACCCCTTGCAGATTATTGCTAAATTCCTGCAAACACATACATTTGTTGGACAAGATGTGTTTATGGGAAAAGCAAGTATTCCCATCCCTATTCTGTTTGGTCAAGTATGATTGGCACTTCAGAAGGATCCACTGCTTTCATTTACCTGGTCAGGGAAATCCTTCGGGTGTGGAGAAGTAAACCGTATTCTCATATTCTCATCCACCTGAGAAACTTTATCCAGGAGATCAGCAAAACGCAGACCGCCAAGTTTGGGTTTGTAGATTGTACTGAAACCTTTTGCAGTTACATTATCTGATGCAGGTTCGTTAGCAGATGAATAATAAACATCTTCAGATACATCTCTATAGCTGTTTACATTTTGTCCAAGAAGTGTTACCTCCTTCACTCCCTGCAAGAAAAAAAAGCCCATAATAAGTAGAGCTGCAGCTTGGTGGTTAAGATTCTTGTCTTCCAATCCGAACGTCCTCTTTTTTAAATACTGTCAGTATAAACAAAGTTCAGTTTCTGGTTTATTATTTTGGATTTCGCTACAGTTGTATGCAAATTTATTGGTGATCCGCTAACGTTAGCGGATCACCTCTTGTTATTGTCAGAGATCTTCTTTTTTTTTTAAATTCTACCTTTCCTTCCATTTTTGTTCGCACGATATCTCAAAAACATGCCACGAGTTACGTACAATCGCTGTCAGCGAACATTTGGCTTGGTCTGGAATAGTCATGGTAAGCTTTTCAACGCGCTCAGTCAATTGTGACGTCATCTACGTGCAAGCGTTTTTACATAATTGATTATATCAGCCTAACCAATTGCCATTTCGAAATCGTATTAAGTGAGCATTAACTTCAGGTTAATGTTGAATGTACTGTACACTAATTTGACGCGTGCGCTTTACTACGCGCGCATCAAAATTTTAAAATGCTCAAAATCACTTTTTGACTAAATTAGAGCATGTTTCAGGCCATTTTGAGCATTTGAAATTTTCCACTGCGCGCACGCATTTTTACGTGCGCAGCACTTACGAAAGCTAGACATTACGTTATTTTACATGTTTTGGTTTCCTGACATTGTTTTCACAAATTTCCTTTCTTTTCGGTTATCTTTTGGCCAATAGCAATACCGTACGTGCGCATCAAACATAGGTATCTTTGCGCGTATTTGTGCCGCTATACAGTGAAATTATGATAAAATCAGACCTATTTTTAATCAGTTATAGCTCCTTAGGTTGAAAGGTGACCCCCAATTTTCATTACATATTCTGAAAGCACATAAGTTGTAAATATGATTTTATAGATCATAATGGCTGATCGGACATTGTGACGTCATCATATTGGCATCTGAATTCAAGGAAGTGAATTATAGCTATGACGTCATGTTTGAAAATACGCATTTGAGCGTATCTCGCTTATCCTAGGTCGATCGCCTTCCAACTTTGAGTATGTTATAGCTGCGACAATTCTCTTTCATATATTTGAACCCTTTTTACATTTTGATGACGTCATCATGGTCAAAAAAATTGTTTTTTCTGACCCCCTCATTTCTCTTTCTTCAAAACGTTGATGACCCCATATAATCTTAACCATTCGTCATTTCCAAATCATATTAGGTGAACATAAGCTTTAGGTCAAGGTTGAATATT